GCGTTCAAATTAAATATGAAAATAAAACACGACCGATAATGGAATAACAAGTGCGAGTCAAATGTAAATGATGCCAATTAATTGGTGCAAACGGAATGCTTTTGTTTTGTAAATCAATAAATGATATTAAAGATTTAAACGTGAAGAAATTGACAATAAAATGCAAATTGTATTTAAAAAGTGTTTAAGGGTTGAGTGTAAATATTGTGATAAAAAGAAAAGTGATTTATTCAGCTTTATGTATATTGTATTTATCGACAGCAATGTAATGTCATAAATTTACATATTTTTTTTTGCTATTATTATTTATTTATAATATCAGATAATATTGAAGGAAAATTCATTTATAAAGTGCTTAACAAAATAATTATGATTAAAAGAATATAAAATTAAAAGAAAAACGGTAAACGTACAAAAAGTGGAGCAAAATGTAAAATATAAAAGACTTCTTTAAACAACAATTACAAGTCAAAGCAATTAAACAACTGCAAATAAAAATCAAAAAGGAAAAGTCAAAATCCTAATTTCATAAATAAATGTAAATAAAACATAAACATAACCACACACACACGAGAGCAATTATTTGCAATGGGATATTTATGACATGCCAACGAGGTGAGGTTTAATTTATGAATGTTCACTCGCACTTTTACACTAAATAGTTGGGTTACACTCAATTTAAATTCCCAGCACGCTCCACGGCCCATTAAATAGCGCTCAGAAATCAGAAATCATTTGCATAATTCTTTGGCGATTCACTCGCTGTCAAACAAAGAAACAAACAAGTTGATTGGCCCAGCAAGTGCTAGCAAATTAAATAATAATTATTTATACAATGCACAAATAACAGGCAATTATAATGCATATGGACCAGGCCAGACGGAAATTCATTCGAACAATTCCAAAACTCAACTCGACTCCATGCAGCCAAGCGTGTACATTTTGTTTAATATTCCCAGACATGTTACTTTACTTATCCAACAGCGAATGAGTGTGTATTTGTGTGTGTGTGACATAAACTATTGCTAAATGCAAACATTTATAGTTTCATTAAATGGCTTAGTGTTTCGCTTCAGCGACGGACATCGGACGACAGGCATTAAATCATTTTTAAAGTGCTTGCAAATAATTGAATTTGTTAGTGCGAAAATGCTAGCACATGTCTTGCCTGCTTTTTGTCTTTCTCTGTACAGGGAGTAATGGCTAAAAAGGAATTGGAGATTGGATTCCATAAAAAGGAATATATAAAAGGTCTAGGATGAATACCCTTAAAGATAGTTTTAAATAAGAAAACATATTTTTAGCTCCGTGTTTGATAAGTAAAAGAAAGGTTAACTTTTTATTACTCCCTAAAGTACGTTTTATTTTATCTTCAATCCTCTGTATTTTAATATAATTCTGGAAAATAAGAATCGAGGGTGTTTTAATATTTGCATACGTTTCCTGTCTTAGCTACTCACTAAGTGTTATTGTCTCTTTCTTATTAATATTAATTGGTAACTGTCTACTATGAAATTAGCATATGCATTATAATGTTTAGCAACTTGAGTTATGTTTTTCCTTGATTAAATTCATTAATTTAGTCATTTATTAATTCTGATGATGAAATTATTCACTTTCTGAGATGTTTGGTTAAAAAACGGTGAAGATATAATTTTCTAACAAGGTTTTGTAATTTTTTTACAGAAAATCAAGTAGAAGTTTAAGTACAAGGATAAATACTAAGCAGAAACATATTTCTTAGAGCAAATACAATTTTTCGTGTAATAATATAGGGTATAAATATATAAAATGGTATATAAACTAATTTTTTATTTCGTTTTTTTTACTTTAATCTTAATAACCAAAGATTTTAATAATAAATATGACTAAATTCTTATATTTATGGATATGGATATGGATATGGATATGGATATGTCTAAGCTTTCCCTTTCCTTTGTGTTTCTTAACCAATCTCCACTGTAAAGTTCAGTCACATAAAGCGCCTAGTGAAGCAAAGCACAACGGCTAAATGCCTGCAGCATTCGCTTCGTTTCTTGTCCTTGTTCGTTCTTCCTTCCCATCCTATCTCTCCATCTCTCCTTCCCCCGACTAGTATCCTTTCGCATGTCCTTTGTCTTCCCGGCTCCCCCGTTGGTCCTGGAAACGCCTCAGTCGCCTCCCACGCAGTTAGCAGCGCTCACTCATGCATCCTGACTTGTTTTTGTATCCACACACACACACACACACACTCACAGGCGAAGGATACTTGGAGGATACATGTATCCTCATACGACCGTGACGCCATCACTGCTAACAGCATCAAAGACTAAAAACAACAATGGCCTTTGCCATTGTCGTCGTCACTTAATATACAAATTTCAGTAAATATTTTTCACATACACTTGCACATACACTTCAAGGAGTGCAATTTCCGCGAGCTGCATTCGCTCCCAACTGAGCTGAACTGTCATGACACGATTTTCCTTCCTTTCCCCGCACGCTTCTCCAGTTCTCAAGTTATTTTCCTCCATTTTCCATGCCGAGTTCCTTGGGCAACAATTCGTTCAATTTCATGCAATCAAGTTATTTTAATTCATTACCCTTACGCGACCAACACTTGCAAGACATGCACACACAACAAACATAATACACACACACACCATGCACACTCGTTGGAACTTTTACACTCAGAAAACACTGCATATATGTACATATATACACACATATATGCCTTGGCATGCCGTCTTCTCCTTCAACTCGAACACCCTGAAAACCCATTGAACCCCGCCATTGTCCCACAAGTGCATGTGCATTTTGCCTTGCGACACTTGACATTTACATACACCAGCATTTCGATCACTGCAAAAAAAGGGGGGACTTAGAAAATGTATTAAAAATTAATAAAGAAAGCAGGTGCATCATAAGAAATTGTTAGATAAATTCTTACCATACCTAAAGGTAAAGATGTTTTCAATGTCATTGGTTTACAGTCTAAAATATGAAAATTCACTTAAGTATTTCGTTAAATATATTATTTGGGGGTTATTTCTTAACCTTAATCTTAATCTTAAATCGTAATCTATATAAATAATAAACAAATAATACATATATATAATTTTGTCACACAACAATTAAAACAAGGATTAAATTTATATGCAATTCTTTCCAATCCAATACAGAAAGCTTTGAGGTTTATTTATGCCGACACTGATTTTTGTTACTGCTTTATTTATACCAAAGTGACAATAGTTTATCTAAAATTAATAATAAATTATATATACATTGATGCATATAAAAATCACCATATTTAAATTTACGGAAATATTTATATTTACGGAAATATTCTAACAACGCAGTGAAGTAAAAGTTTGCAATGCAATCTTTTATTATGCTAAGAAATATTTGTTAATTTAACATATTTGAAATTATAAATACATTATCTATACATTAAATAAACCTAACTCTAATAAATACAAACCCCATTATATTAAATATTTCGATTGAAAAATAATACTTTATAAAATCATAATGAAGCAGCGACTAAGTCTTTTAAATGCCAACTAATGCTATATTAAATATAAAATCAAAACAAACTATATGTTAACAATAGATCTTAATTAAAACCTTCAACCCAATCAATATTTCCTCTCAGTGTACTTGGCTATTTGCATGTGTTTATATTACACACACCACGGAATATAGGGACTCACGCACGACTATCAAAATGTCAGACATCTGTCATTTAATTTAATTTGACTTCACTTTGCTTTCATTTGCCCTTCCCCCCTATTTTTTGCGCCTTGCCTTCTTCGTTTTCTTCGTCTTGTTCTTCTTCGTGTTCTTTCTTTTTCCCTTTCTATCCTATTGCGATATATATATATATATATATAGCAACAGCTATATAGCGCGCGAGGCGTCGACGCTGAGCACAAAACGTGTAATTTAGCGGGTGGCGTTTGGGTGGCGTTTGGGTGGCTTTCGTGGAGCTTGTTGGGTGGGAAATGGGTGGGTTTTGGTGATTCCCCAGGCGGCTGTTATTACTTAGTTTTTTTCTCCTATTGTTGTTGTACTAGTTGTTGTTGCCTTTGTATGTATTGTTGCAATTGTTGTTGCTGCAACGAACGCGAGCTCAATTTAAATCGCTTTGCGTTTGCTGTGAAAGCGGTAAAAAGCGAGGAAATTGAGAGAAAGTTGGCGGAAAGTGCATCGATCAATGAATACCCTTAATGGGCATAGTACAAAAAAATTGAAAAGTTGATTGTTGTTTTTTTTTATAGATGGATAGCTATTTGGCAAGGATATATAGCGGCCACAAGTTCAAGTAAATGATTGAATTAATTAAATTCATCGGAGAGTTTATCGTTTACTTGATAAATCGATTTATATTTCAGAGAAAATATTTAATAATTACGAATTTAACAATTTACTTTGAAAATTAATGATAAATTCAGTTCATTTAGGGAGGAGTTGGAGGAACTTAAGGAGATAATGGAAAATTCCACATTCATTTATGATCATTCATACACATGAAATGGAAAGACGAGTATAAAGAGTTTATGCGTTTTTGGTAACATAGAATATATTAAAATAATTAAAAATCGTGTTTTTTATGTTTTTAAATAGAATTCTACTAATATATATTTATTTAGGATCTCTTATCTTTGTAATTCCCCTTTCTAGATTTGAACAAATATTATAATATTTTAGCAAATCAATTTTAAACTACACTTTAGTGATACTATTCAAATTATTTTTTAAATTCAAATAATATTTCGATAAACCAAATATCAGTTTATTCCTAACTCTATAAATCTTCTTTAAATTTCAAACCCAATTCCCCTGTACATATACCCAAAATTTTTCACAGAGTATCACCAAAAGACAACTTGACTAGATTTGCATAGGAAATTTTATTTCTTTGAGTTGAACTAAACAAAGTTAGACTAAGGAAAGACACACATCATTAACGCTAAACTAAAACTAATTAATGTAGTAACCCTAAGGATATTTTTGGGACTCTAAAGACCATCTAAGCACCGCTTTTCCTGGTGCTTGGCAATGGCCTTAAGCTGCTTATTGCGATGCTTCAGTTTCTGCTGGAGCTGCCTCTTAAACTGCTGCTCCCGGCTAAGGATCTGCAGATCCTCGGGACTGCAGGAGGACAGTCGCTGCTTCTGCTCAGCGATCAGTTCCTTGGTCAACTGGATCTTGGTCTTGGACACCTGGGTGTAGAGCATCTGGCGGCGATGCAACTCCTGGCGGTGCAGAAACAGAGCGTAGGCGACGGATGCTTCCATTTTGCCGGCTTGCTGCTAAGTGAATGCCAGGATCGAGGTGAGCCGGCCTTTTAAAGGACCTCCGCAGGCCAAATGTGTTATGCATGCTCGGTCTTGTTTATCTGCTTTTTTTGCCTGTCCTTTGGGTCGGTCCTGTGGCGTATGGGATGGTGATTTTTCGCGGTCAATCCTTTGGGGTACCTTTAGGTTCGTACCTGCGTTCCCACGCAGCAGGTAACTGGCAGCAGGTCTTCTTCCTTCACGGATCCGTGTCCGGTACATTAATGCACTTTAGGCCAAAATCCTTCGCATATGGCCGGCAGGATTTACCCAGCGGACCTTAGAAAAGTTGGGTAAACTTTTGCGCTTGCCTGCGTCCTATGAAAGGAAATTGTGACCAGAAAATGGGAGAGATTTTCCGAAGAGACGGTTGGGTGGTGACACATCCACAGCAAACTTCTTGGTCATGCAGCCACGATGCCAAAATCCAATGCAATTTTTGGGCCATCCATCTACTAGGCCACCCCACAAGCCCCATGGACGACCCACTCAACGACAGGATGGCACGCACGTCCTGGACAGCCCGGCACATGCATCAATAATTTTCCACAACCCAGACAGCTCACTGGGAGAAAAGTGGATAGAAATGAATATATATTTATTCGGGCTATACAAAGAGTAAATAAAATATAAATATTTACTGATAGAAAATTATTTATACTCATATTCTTATACATATATTCTTACTCTCCTGTATATTATTAGAATATTGTTTCTTTACTTTCTGGCAATTATTTTAATCTCAAACCTATTTTCGCCGTGTTCCTAGAGACCCAAAAACCCTCACCCCTGACCCAACATGACCCGGATCCGGGCCTAATGCCGGACCAACACTTTGAGGTTTATTAATTCGCATGAACTCCGTCCGGCTGTTCAACCCGGCGCTCATTTTTCATGCTGCCCGGGCAACGAAAGCCACAATTAAAAATTGCTTATGAACGGAAATGGTAGACAAAAAACAAAAAAAAAAAAAAGAAGGAGGAGAAGGCAACTACTGCCTCCCGTTAGGAAAGTCTAAGCCATAAGCTGAGCCATGTGAATCTCTCAAAGTTTTTCCCGGCGGAACAGCATGGAGGCAAGAGGGTGCTACGAAAAACTTAATTTCCTATTTCCTTTCAGTTTCCTGCGGGGCTTCCACCTCCACTTCCTCATCCACTTACACAACCATCTCCTTGCCATTTAGTGTAAACTGTGTGCGCATCATTATTTTGAAATTTTTGACACTTTTTTCGCTTGATGGTGCTAAGCTACTTGTAAATCAACCCAAGCTCTAGCTGCTAGCTAGTCTCTGTGTGTGTGTGTGTGTGTGTGTGTCACATTTCCGACGGAAGTGTAAGCAGAAAAGTTCGTTCGTTCTTGGTTTCATTCTCGCTAAATGGCATCAAGAAATGCAGCATCCTCACTCCATTCTCAGGCGACATTGACTGATGATGATGAGCACGATGATGTAAATGGGATTTTAGTGCCGCACATGACAATAGTAAACTTCTCAGCTAGATTTCGGGATCATAAGCTGTGATGGCTCTGTTCCGTGTGGATCTCTGTCTGCCCCTTGTGAGACATGCAAGTAAATTGCCTTACTCAATTTATTGTGCAATTATGGGAACACTAATGAACAAAGCGGGGGAAAGATGTCTGGGAATGGGAAAATAACACTCTAGATGCTATGAAATTATAAAACAAATACCAAACTAGATATATTATATTTAAGTAACTACTTCTATACTATATTTATTATAATATTATTATTCTTTTCCAGTTACCCAACAAATTCAGGCCTGCGCCTACCCTCCGTCCCTGACATGGCCTGGCCATTGCTCTTGGTGCTCCTCCACCTCAGCGGCAGCATCTCAGCCCTTAGTCTGCCCAACATGACCTCAGCGGATGCCGCTGCCGGCGGTGGCTCCAATTCGCCAGTTCTGCTGGCAGGAAATCCCAACATCCTAGGTCCCAGCAACCTAAGCAACCTGAGCATGGGCGGTGGACTGGGACCTGGCAGCAGTGCCGGTGGTCAGGTCCAGCCGGAATCGAGTGGCGGCGTCTCCCTGGGCGGATCACCAGTAAGTGGAGGCATCGGTGGCGGCGGAAGTAGTCCTAGCAGCGGCATTGGCGTCAGTGGCAGTGGCAACAACTCCACCTTGACGCAGGGCTCCAAGGATAAGCAGTATGACAAATGCTCGGGTCCTGGGGATCCTGGTCCCTGCAAGCAGTACATATACAAGTGGCGCTACGAACCGACCACCAACGAGTGCACCAACTTCATCTGGGGAGGATGCGATGGTAATCCACAGAACAGGTTTAGCACGGAGGCGGAGTGCCTATTCCATTGCATTGGAGGACCACGTAAGGATAATGTTTTTTAATTGACTAATTTTAGAGAGAGACTAGCTAAAGTTAGTATTAAAATGTAGTAAATGAAATCACATAGCTATCGAGCTCTCAACCTTTATAGAAGCTGTATTCAAATATCTTTAATATATAGAAGAACCAAGCACATTCTCTCAAATTTAATAATATTACCAAATATTATATATTCCCCAACAGCAAGAAATAATTTTCCCTTAACGTAGAATTTGTTGTGAGCTCCTTAGGTCACCTCCATAATAATCCAAATTGACGTCAACTCTCTCTTGCAGACACTCTGCCCCCATTCCTGCAGTCCACCACCCGTGAGCCCAGCACCACGGAGAGTTCCCTGCTCCTTGGATCGCCGTATACCCAGAGTCCGGCCCAATCGGCGGACGGAATGGGCGGACTGGAGGGCGGTGACGGAACAACGCCGGTGCCCATCGAGCAGCGCGGTCCCGAGCTCACCTTCGCGGAAACGGGTCAGGAAAAAACTTTCATTTTCGCGAAGAACAACACGTTCATCCAAATGGACGGCGACATCATACAGACATTTCAATTAAGGTGAGTGCCGGGAGAGGGCTAAGGGGAGCGTCGGCTTATGACCACCTGGCAGGTGGCAGCCTCAGGTCCTCGGGTCGTCAGGTCATCAGGTCCTCAGGTCCTTTGCATGCCACACTTCAACTGGCGGCGCGCTGCAATGCCGTGTCATTTAGCGGATTGTTGGCCTTTTGGCTCAAAAGTACTTGATTTCCTTAACCCCAGAAAGGATATAGTAATGTTTTAAAGAAGGGTTTTATTAAAATATAAATAAATTAAAGACAAAACATGTGAAAAATTATACTAACTAAAATATTTTGATATAACTTTAAAGCTATTTTAATTCCGCATAAAAAACTATTTCTCCTTCACATATAAATTCAAAAATAAATTGTGGCATGTTCACAGAGTTATCAAATATTTATTGCTCGATTGTCAGTAAAAAGCATTCCATGTTCCACATATTGCGTGATTTCCGATTTACCAACCTTTAGCAATACCAATTATAAAGTCTCTGGCGAATTTTTGTAATAGAAGCCAATTAAATCTGGCATTTAAATGGAACAGTCGGATGCGAAAAAAATCGAACTGACAACCGTGGACGAAAAAATGTTACAATTTCTGTTTTGGTTTTTGTTTATGACATAGACCCAAAGGGTTAATAGTGAGAGCAATTAGCTTAACTGACATTTGCCTGCACTGTTTGGAAAATTGATTTTCCCTCAAGAAGTTTCTTAGGGGACCTGCCGTCTTATCGTTAGTTAGTCTACAAAAAAATAAAGAAAAGCCACCAAAGAGAAGTAGGAAATACGGGGCATTCCCGAAAATCCAGGTCAGAGGTTAATTTTCTGCTCAATTGCGAACAAGTTGTGACATTTAAATGGCCCAAAAAACCGACTTCTTTTGGGTTGCCGAAATTTAAAATTCAATTTGGCCAGAAACATTTGACATTTGCATATTAAATTAAGATAAAAAATGTTATTTAAATGTGCGCACATGTTGGGCAAACATGTAGACAGTCAGGCAAATAAAATTAAACATAACTTTGCCAAATAGATCTTGCACTTGCCATCGTTGTTTTCACCCTTGCTGCCAGTGGCCAGTGGCCAGCAGCTCCTTGGCCAACTTGGCAATTTGTGCTGTAGTTTTAATTGTAACTCATGTGGCTGCCGACAGCAGTGGCAACAGAGCAACGAGAACAACAGCAGCAGCAGCAGCAGCAGCGGCAACAGCAGTCAAGAGCAAAGTACAAATAAATTTAAAACTCTGTCAGCCAGACACATCGTCCTGCCTTCGTCCTGGCCCTCAGCCTTTGCTTCGCACTCGCACATATGCTAATGAGTGCTGAGAACTTGGCTATACTTTTACTGACAAATTTGGTTAATTGAAAAGATTTAGGAACCAAATTATCTATAAGCAGGGGTATTTTTTAATGTGCTATTACATTTTGGTATTATTTAACTGAACAACATATTGTTAGCTGATTTTTAAAGTTCTTAGCCAGGTAGCTTAAACAAATGTCCACAAAATATTAAAACACGGAGAATGATGTTAAAAAATATAAATAACATAAAGCAAAGTTCAAAAATATTTAATTTAAATGATTTATATTGAAACAATGAGCTCTTTAACAAATATCACTGCTTGAAATATGAATATGAGTTTTTCACTAATGAGAATTTGTTTAAGGTTTGCATTAGAGACTACCTAAGGCCTTGTATAAATATTGTTGAATATTATTATAATTATTTGAATTTCCTTAAGTAATTCTTTAACCCTATTTAGCTCTTTAAAAATAATCAAAGTAAACTTTGAGCAACTCTAGTCTTAATGCCTGGGTACTACTCTGCATCCTTGTGTCTTTGCAGACTTTGCCGTGAGATTTCATTTCAATTCCGCACCCGCCTGCCCCATGGCCTGCTCGTCTATCACAATGTTAAGAATCCGGATCGCATTAATTTGGACCCCTATGCACTCTACGTGATTGTGGAGAAGGGCCAGCTGAAGGTGGTCCATGTCTTTGGCAAGCATTCAACGAGTGTCACTGTGGGCGAGAGTCTGAATCGAGACGAATG